ACAGAATGAAGTATTATTTTCACTGCTCTTCTGTAAATCATGTTGTAATGTGAATATTGCCATATTGAGTAATATACAGCTTAAAAGGATTACAGCTATGCATGAATTGCATACTAAAAGCATTTGTACCGATGAATATGTTTTATGTTTTATAACAATAAATAAATATAAAAGACCGAGTATAATAGATAATGAAGTCGATATGATGCCAATAATATCGAAGGGAAGAAACCATAATTCTGTTTCGATCAATGTTGAATCGTTCATGATATTTAACATTTCCATAGAATTTACAGTTATTTATAATTGTAGATTAAAAATAGATAAATTTAGCAAAGTATTTGAAGAGTTTCTCTGGTTATTTTAAAAACAAAACTTAGTGAGACAAGAAGAAATGCAACAACAATTTATATGATGTAACGACATTAAATTAAAAATTTTCTTGAAAAGGAAAAATGTCTGATTATTTTCTTTGTAGATATAAATAGTTTAATATTATAATTGTGATGTCAGTTGCAAATAACTATTTATAAATTATCAACAACCACATTTACTCATCGCACTATAATTAAAATCTTTTTTTTTATATTCGAAATATATTTTATATAAAGTTTTTCTGTTAATTTGCTATAATATACTTCCATGTTTGATTTATTTATGTTTAAATATTTTATGAATTTTGATATATCGATAAGAAAATCTGCATTCTTTTCTTTGTTTTTCTTACAAAAACTTTTATTTTATTTACGAAGTTGTTTTAATAATCTGCTTTCAAAGTATGTCAGTTAAATAGATATTTTATGATTTATCAATTATGTTGATGACAGTTACTTGATTTGCATTTGTCTTCACAATTTTACATCTGAGCTAAAGTACTAGTCAGACGGATGAGATTTCATCACATACTGTATCAATCAGTCTATCTTAATAGTATTATTGAAACAATATCGAAATATAATTTAGATTATTAAGCATTTTATTTATTCTAATATCTGAAAATCTACTTAAAGAAATCGATAATAAAAATGTATTGATGGAAACTGATGTTATTTTTTCGATGAAGTATTTACAAAAAAAAACATAGGAAAATGCTGGAATTAATATAAAAAAAAAGAAAACAAATCGAATAATGTTTATGAATAAATTTAATTTAATTCATTTAACTGGAAGCATGTTTTTCTTTATGAACTTCAGCTTTGAAACCATGTTCATCAGCTTTATTTGCAGCTTTACCAGCTGCAAATGCAGCATCTACTCGTTCACTTGGTTTGACCGATGGATCATGAGCTTTATCTGCACAATCTTCAGCTTTTTTCATATGTAAAGCTTCTTGAGCTTTTTCAAGGCCAGCTTTGATTGCATCCATTTTGTTCTATTTACAAACAATCATATTTTTTTTTTCTATACAAATATTCAAAAGAAATTATACATACATAGATAAATTTACGAGAGTAATCGTAGATTGAAGTAGTTCGTATTGAGAGAATATGAATGAATAAGTAAACTCGCTTTCTATATATAGTAGAAGGAAGAGGAAGAACATCGCTCTCTCTCTTTTTCTCTTTCTTTTTTTCTCAGCTATTCTCGAATATTTTTTTTTGTGTTATACAGAGAATAGCAAAATAGAGGTCATAGACTACAAATACAACTATTGGTCATGTGTCTATATAGCACGTTCTTTACAATGTGAGATTTTGTTTATTGGATGAAAAAATACTGCGCAGAAAAAATACAGAACAATGTAAATAGTTTTAAAAGCCCACAGAAATAACATGATTTATTATGAAAAACTGAATATGTCTTGAATACAAAAAAAATAAGATATTCATAGCTGGATTAAAAATATTATATTAAATGAATTATTTATTTCTAATGTCTTTGACCAGGTTTAGCTTCACCTCTACGTCCATGTTTTTCGGCTTGAGCACCTCGAGCTTTCGCCGCACCTGCAGGTGAACTAGTTGCCTTAGCTGGTGGTGCTTTTGATGGATCTGCATTTTTATCGATCTTTGCATCAATATTACTACCTTCAGCATCTTTTTCATTCACCTATAACAAGAAATTCATAGCAAAACAAAATCGATTCAAGTTAATAATACCTTAGTATCGCTAGCCTTAGAAGTATCCATATTTATGTCGAAAATAATAAGAAATGAATATATCGATAAATAATATGCACCTTTACCTGACGTCAAGCATGATCGATGATGGATAATAAGATTCTTTTGTTTTCATATCAGGGATTTATCTTTACAATAATATTATTGTTGTAGAAAAGAAAGAAAAAATAACTATTTACGTCGTAAATAAATATCAAAAATGATTTTTATTCTAAAGTTGAATATTTTTCTAAATTTGTATTCCGGATACTCGAGTAATATTTTATTTGATGAATATAGAGTACATTTACTTCATTATTCACAAGAGAATACTCCAAACGCATAGCTTTGTTTTATATTAAAGATTTGCATTATGTCACATATATTTAGACCTTGTAATAAAAAACAACAATGGATTCATAATATTTTATGATTACTCATTAATATGAATAATGTTCGAATTAAACACGTGGACAATATTGCGTATATATTACTAATATCGATATATCATTACAAAATTGATACTCGTAGTGTACTTATAATTCTTAGTCTAATCGTATGATCTATATCTAATATAACTAAGTTTTATACGTATTATTCTTCTTGTTTTTGTCATATGACTACAAACTTGCTTGACATTCAGTTTTGTCTGTAATTCATATTAGTTCAGCCTCGATTGGTAAAATGCACTATGAAATTATAAGAAGATGATACTATATATGAAGTCAAAGAAAGTTGTTTAATCTAGGAGACAACTCAGTAAAAATAGCTGATATTTTTAATCGTTTTAGCAGTTTTTCAAAAACATTGTTATAACTTCGAGAAATTATAATAATGAATATGGATTTGCTGTACTTCTAACAAAATTGCTCATAGTGTTTCATTAAATAAAAGGCTATTAACATATTATTTAATATGAAAAAGGAATATGAAATCTTTTTCATAAATATCTTGATTCCCAACTTGTGCACTTCGAAGAAGCAATACTATTCAATAAAATGTATTCCTACGTCAATTCACATAATTCAATGGGAAAATCAACATTAGTTTTATGTCTTCTATATGTTTAATTTTTTTAACATTAACAAATAATCGTTTATGAAACTAAACAAATTTCGAAGGTATTTTCTCTTTTTGTTCATTGCCCATAATCTCTATCGAATGTACACACACCATTTGTTCGTTTCTCTCTCTCTCTCTCGAATACAGAAACATGATGAACGCAGGCGCATACGACGTGGCGTTAATTTTGTTTTCTTCTCTTTTTCTCTTTCTTGCCGCCGACAATGTGTGTTGCCGTCAATGTGTTACTTTCTTTTGACAGTCGATTGGCGTTCGTTTTCTTTCTTTTTTTTTGTCTACTACCGTCCGGCAGCCTTGACCAGTGGCCGCGAAAAGAGAGAGAAGGAGAAGTGAGCCATGTCATTGTTCTTTCTCCTTCATTCTCAGCGAACGGACGACGACGACGAAAGAAATGAGTGGATGGTGAATGAACATCATTCCCTTTTCTTTTCTTGTTCTATTTGAAGGTCAGTTCAAACACACTGCCGCTTTGTAAAACAAAAAAAAGAAGAAGAAAAGATAGACGATTTGCGACTTCTCTTTTACTCCACCCATCGTTTTCAATGATCAAAGACAAGTAATAATTATGTATAGAATTTAAACTAAAAAACAAATCAATGGCATCACCAACATTTGATCAAACACAATTTCAAACACCAATTAAAAAATGTCCAATATCATCATCACCAAGTTCTCCATCATCTATTTCAACAACATCAACAGATCCTAAACAACGTTCAATAACCGGTAGTAGTAGTAATAATACTAATGATGAAACAATTACAACAATTAAAATGGAAGATGGAACAGATGAAATTAAAATATTTTCAGCATCGACAATAAAAAAAAATGACCCTGATGATGATATTGATGTCGATGGAATTGAGGATCGTCTTTCACCAGTTATTGAAACACCAGTATGTTCAAAATATTTTATTTGAAAAAGAATCTTATTTTTCCTCTTTTGTTTTAGACAAGTCCTGATAAAAAATGATCCATTGCATAGTAGTATTTCTGGTTTATATACATCACCATTCCTTTATCCATATTTTCATCCAATGTTTCATCCATATTTAATGGCTGCAGCTGCACAAGCAAATGCTGCTGGTTCATCAACAGTAACGAAATTTCATTATTTTAATTTTTTATCAAAATAAAATTCTTTTTCTTAGGATAAATCATCAGATGGACAGAATCTACTTACTTCTAATCCATATGGTGGTGCACCTTCACCATTTTCTGGTTTCAATCCAGGTAAATATTAAAAAATCTATATATTATATGTCTATTGTCAATTTTTTAAGGTATGCCTTTTCCTTCATTATATCCACCTGGTATGGGTAATCAATCATTTCGTCCCAATCTTTTCAATCCATTTGGTATACCTATTCCGGCACCTGGCGTTCGACCACCACAAGCTCCATCCGCATCATCATCTTCTTCATCATCTTCTAATCGTCATCATCAGAATTATGATGGGTCTCCTCGAAAGTATGACAACATATAAAAATATTTTGTTATTGTATTCTCTATTGTTTTCTTTATTTTAGTCTCAGTGTTCTTCTAGATGCACAACGTCCAAAGAAACCTCATATAAAAAAACCTTTAAATGCATTTATGCTTTATATGAAAGAACAACGTGCACGTGTTATTGAAGAATGTACATTAAAAGAATCATCAGCTATAAATAAAGTTCTTGGACAAAAATGGAAAGAATTACCTCGAGCTGAACAAGATAGATATTATGGTAAATTAAAAGATTTTTGTTAAATAGATAAATTAAAAAGCTTTTTTTTATTCAGAATTAGCAAAAGAAGAACGTAATCGTCATATGCAATTATATCCTGGTTGGTCAGCACGAGATAATTATGGTTTAAAAAAGAAACGACAATCAAGTGGTCATACACCTGTATTAAATAATTCACATAAGAAAGCACCAAGAGAAAATAATTCTATGGTTAATAGTCCAGGACATTTAAATCATGGTAGTCCGCATCGTTATGGTCAACAACATCATTTAATCAATAGTCCACATATGAATTCAAATAAAAATCCAATGCAATTAGAGAATGGTAAAGAAAAAGACTAATAAATTATTTATATACGAAAGATTTCGTTTGATTTCTAGATTGTCTAAATCAAAAGAAATGTCGAGCAAGATTTGGATTAGAAGGTCAAAGTCAATGGTGTAAACATTGTCGACGAAAGAAAAAATGTACAAGATTTCTTGAAGAAGATATGTCAAACCATGCTAATAATAATAATATGAATAGTTATCATAATCCATCAATGAATACTCATGGAAGAAATAATGGTAATCCATCATTAATTAATTCACCACGAACAAATCAATCGGATGATGATGATGATGATGATTCGGTAAATGAACCTGATGGTGATGATATATTATCTCGACAAGTTGATACAATTGAAGATGATGATGACGAAGATGAGGATGATGATGAAGATGACAGTGATGAAGAAAATAAACAACAACATCATCATCAACAACCTGTTTCACTTGTTTATAAACCAATTCCATCAAAAATTGATTCTCATCAACACCAATTTCAACCACCACCACCTGCACATTTATATCAACCTTCAACATTACCATCTCATTTTACACCTAACTTTCATTATTAAAAAATACAGTTGTGTTTTGGTTTTTCTTCTTTTCCTTTTTCTTTCTTTTTTTTGTTCATGATAATTTTTTTTTCTGGTGCTTATGTATATTAAACTTCTCTTTATGAAATTATTTGACTCGAGTGACGAACTTATCTTTGTTTCTTGTTTTTCTTGCGAGTTTTTTTTTGTTTTCTTATTATTCTCTGTACTTGGCGAGCATGCGGAAAGTCTTGTGACTTCGACATGTGGTTTATTAATGAAAAAATGAAAGAAAAAAAAAATGTGTTTGATCAAAATGTATTCTCACGAAAAGTGATTGAACAATCTTGAAAAACGAAACTGTTTTTTTTTAATGGAAACAAAAAATGAAATAAGATTAATAAAATTTCGTGTCTCTTTATTTTAGTTCAATATTGAAATAAATGCTACAGATTTTTCTTTTCTTATAATATAAATAATTCATTTTTCTTGAAGAACTTTGCTAGGAATCCGTATATGAAGAATATTATTAATATATCATCATTTGAATATTAAAACAGCTACTTCTTCCTTTGTATAATCAATGAAAAATATTTCTCTCTTCAAAAGATCGTCATAAAAAATCTACATTATTATATTATTGAAGAAACCCATAAAACTGTTAATACAGTAGATGATATTCAAAGTAAAATGAATATTCGCCTATTTCAAAATATTTTGTCTTTTCTTTTTATCTACGTATAAAATATTTTTTCTCATGTCACAAGACAAAGAGAATGATAGGATACATGTGACATCGAATAAATGCTTATTTCTTTTTACCTTGTGACGAATATATTCGACAACCTAAAGTGCAACTAAGGTTAAAATCGATTTATTCAATAAATAAAAAGATCTAGTCGAAATTAACTAAATATAAGATTCTAACAAACAAATGAACTTTGACATTGAACATAATAATCGAGAAAATGAGAATAATATTGCAGAAAAAAACAACTTATGAATTTTATAATATGTTTTTTCTCGTTTTTGAAAATATTTGAACAGCATCCTCAAACATTCTCATATAGATCTTCCATAATTGGTTTTTAGTTATACATTTTCGTTGATTTGTTTCATGATCATATGCTTCTTTAAAGGTATCTTTGGTATTGTTTTATTTCATATATTTTTCAATTATTTCATCAGACAGTTGTTTACTCATTAGATATATTATATTCTATCTTTGAGAATTATTTTTAACAATCATATTTTATTTCTTTAACTTTATCTAAATTTTTTTTCAACATTGTTCATCAGATAAATAATGTGTATGTTGATTAATAACGACAAAATAGAGCGAAAGTTCCTATAATATTATTGACATTTTTTGCTATGTAATAAAAATAGACATGACAATGTTTCGTTTGTTTGAAATAAACAAAAAAAAAGAGGTTCGTTGTTTTGATTAATATGTAAAATATTTAGAAAAAAAAGAAAAAAATTATAAAAGAAGCTTTAGTAATGATATTATAACTAGAAAGAAATAATGCATTTTATTTAGAATTCAATAAAATAAGAAGAAACTATACGTGTCATAGCATATCATGGTAAGATTAGTAAGAATTTTATTCATTTATCTATCTTTTCATATTAATTAAAAGGATTATATGGGATTGGAGAATATGTACAAACAGCAGAATCCGTTACGACCACCAGCATTGTCGCCTGAACCAAACGTTATATCACCTTCATTGCCTCCTTTTAATGGTTATTTGCCAACATCGAGTACAAATTTATGGTCATCAGTGCCATTAGATGGAAGTCGATCAGAGACAAAACCAGTGAATCCATTTAATACAAGTATTCCACATACGGAAACATTTGAGCAAAGATCTTCAAATAACCCATATCCGAAACCAGGCGATCAATGGACACCAAATAATCCATATTCGAAACCAAGCGATCCATTGTCATCAAGTAACCTATATCCAAAAGTAGGTGATCAATGGCCATTAAGTAATTCATATCCGAAAGCAAGTGATCAATGGTCATCAAGTAACTCATATCCGAAACCAGGCGATCCATTGTCATCAAATAATCCATATCCGAAATCAACTGATCAATGGCCATCAAGTAATTCATATCCGAAACCAACTGATCAACGACTATCTACTAATATCTATCCAAAAGTAGGCGATCAATGGTCACCAAATAATCCATATGCAAGACCAAGTGAACAATGGCCACCAAGTATTACACATCCAAAACCAAACGAACAGCGGCCACCTAATAATGCATTTGCGAGACCAAGCGATCTATGGTCAACAAATAAACCACCTGTTAAAACAAATCAAATATGGTCACCAGACAATTCACTTACGAAAGGAATGGATACAACAAACACAAATAATAATTTATCAAATATCAAAACGATAAAAAGGTCTGAAAAGAAAAGTTCATATAAAATAAAAATTTATTTTCTTTTAGTTCGGATGGGATATGTGGTTCCTTAACTAAACGATTATCACCTCGTTGCAAACTAGGTATGCTTGGTTTCGCTATTGGACTTTTAACAGTTGGCATTGCATTAGCTGTCGTATTGGTCTTATGGCTCAGAAAATAATCAATTGTATAATACAATATGAACACTGTCAACTCTGCTAAACTTTTATATAATCAGTTATCATGAATATTGAAAACAAATAAAATTTTTGAGTGACATTTTTTTTTAAGTATAAATAAAAGAACTGCCATAATGTTGTATGATTACTAATTTTCGTAGTACTGTAAAATAGGCGATAGAGACTCAATAAATTTATCTTATATATATACATATATATAATATGACGTAATGCATGCCTTTTTTTAGTAATCATAACTATTAACGTACTCTAGTAGAAAAATGTCTTTAAAACAATACATAGGGCGTGTCGTTGTGCATTGAAGTGTAACCATGTAGGTGTATAAAAGTACACCTTATTTAACATTAACATCAGTTAATCGAATAATACAATGCCTCATCGTTTTCGACTACCATTAAGAGCACCTAAAGAAGGACAAGATAGTTTTTTCTTATGGAGTATGGTTATTCTACCTATTGTAGCTGATGGTTCATATATATTTGATGCTTACTATTATTTATTCCACGATGCTCATATTCATCGTTATCAGGGACTAATTTCAACTATTCTTGTTGTTTTTACATATTTACGTTATTGTGTACCAATTGCATCACATAGAATACTTGCTGGTTATTATATTTTATTATGTTTATTAACTGAAACGGGTACTATTGGTTATTTAATTGTTTATTGTAAAAAACAAAATTATATTGATATAATGATTTATTCAGGATGGGCAGTATTAGAATTAATAACAACATGTTTTTTAATATATTATCGTGTATATTGTCATTGTCAACCAAATTTTCATGTTGAAAGTAAACATTTATTTCATTTTATATCACGATTAGAAGTTATACTTGCAATATTTATACCATTTTTTATTAGTAATACATCACCTGTATTAACAAAACATTCAATAGCATTTTTTTTACTATTCGAATTTTTTTCTGATTCATATTGTCGTTTTCAAGGTTTTTGGATAAAATCAAATTTGTATATATTTGTATGTGCAGTGACAGTATGTGTAGCAACAGAATGGATTTATGCCAATGAACATAAAGAAGTCTATGAAGTGCTTTCATCAGTATTTGAATTAATATCAGCAGTGCTATGTAATACATTAATTATTCTTCAATTTAGTCCTTATCATTTTAAACCATTAAGTTTATCGAAAATTGCTCGTAAAAGAAGGAGAATTCAACAAACAAATGACAAAGAAACACGTATTGAAATGGGAACTGATACAGAATTGGAAGATGAAAAATTCAACAGAGACACTCATTGAACTACAGACATTCTAATTTCTGTTAATAAATTGATGTTTTATTTTTAAATATGTAATAAATTTGGAAAGCAAAGCTTAATATGGGACGATGCAAGTATTACATTATCCAATTTTTACCAGAGAACCACCCGAGGTATCAAAAAGTCTAAAAGGATATGTGCCCAAGTTGGTGTTTGCCTGAGATATCGACAATTTATGGTAGTTTTCTTATAGAACCCTACCTGTATGGTAAAATCAAAGTTTCGAATTTAGACCTGAAACTACACGGGTAGGGTTCTATAGGAAAACTACCATAAATAGTCGATATCTCAGCCAACACCAACTTGGGCACATATCCTTTTAGGGTTTTACTAGTCTATGTATCTCCTACTTGTGGTCAAAACTACAGGCCAAACGCTTTTTGATACCTCGAGTGGTTCCCTCGTTAGCCATTTTGACTCCCTCCCCTCCTCCAAATAATCAAATGTCAAATTTCTCGAATCACTTTTTCCCCTGATCGCGTTATCACCAAGAATTTCTCCATGATAGACAAATCTGTTGTACAGTCGAAAATCTGTATACATCGTCTTTGACCGACCCCTCCTCCTGCTAAACTTAATAACGTAATACGTTCATCGTTTCTATATGAAAATGTACTAAATGAATTATAATCGATGCACCTTCAAATTGAAAAATAAAGGATTCTTTTCTAAGACTTGAATGATGTAACTATTTAGTTCTTATACCAAATCACCTTGATGCTCTTACGATTATTTAAATTTCTTTTTTTATCCATCACCCTTCAACACATCAAAATATAATATAATTATTATTATGCTAATTTACAATAAATTCGTCACTATTTATAATCTTACTTAAGAAATTTCAAAATCTGTTGATATTTTATGAAAATCATCGACGTCAATGAACGAATAATCTTTCTAATATTTAATTTTGTTTTATATAGGACAAAATCTTTTAAGACGAATAAATGAAAATAGTAATACGAAACTTTGTAAGCAAAAAAAAAGAGTCGTCTGCAAATAAAAACATATTTTTCAATAGAAAAGCTGATTGCTTCAAGATATTTTACCTGTGAATATTTATTCAAATCAGTATTTACCGATATCGAATGTAATATATAAGCGTTTATATACAATCATTCTAGTATCCCGACTAAACTAAAACGATTCTTGTAGGAATGGGATTTTTTGATTTACATGAACCTGAAGATGGACAAGATCAATTCTTTTTATATGCAATGATTGTTCTACCAATATGTTCATCAAGTGCTTATGTATTTGATGCATGGTTTCATTTTCAATATCCCACTGAAGAACGTTCTTATGAAGGTCTTCTATCAACTATAACGATTGTATTTTTGTTTTTACAATATTGTGTACCAATACGTTCACGAAAAGCATTGACTATTTATTATATCATATTATGTATGATAACAGAAACAGGAACAATTGGTTATTTAATTTATTATATAGAAAAAAAAGATATCGTAAATATGATATTTTATAGTTGTTCAATATTATTTGATTTATTATTTACAAGTGGTTTAATTTATTGTCGTGTTATTAAACAATATGAATCACATATACTTGTAGAAAATAAACATTTATTTCATTTTATGTCACGTTTAGAAGTTATATTAACAATATTTATACCAGCTTATATGAATTCAAATTATACATCATTAACACGTAAAATGATAGCATATTTTCTTTTATTTGATTTTTTTTCTGATGCATATTCAAGATTTCAAGGTGTATGGATAAAATCAGCATTATATTTATTTGCAACAACAACAACTATATCTGTTGCAACTGAATGGTTTTATTTTAATCATCATAACCATATCTATGAACGAGTTTCGGTTTTATCAGAACTTGTTGCAGCTATACTATGTTATACAATTATTATACTACAATTTTTTCCATTTCATTTTAAAACTCAACATGTACAAAATATTGCGCGTGAAGCGTTACTTTTTCAAAGAAATTTATATGCATCTCATGTTAGGACTAGTATTGCAATAACCAGAGCAATTGATTTAATGAAAAATGAAGAGATTAAAAATGAAACAGAGACTACTACTACTGGTAGTAAGAATGATTTAAGTATGGACACAACTATGTAATATTATACTTTTTGTTTTCTAAATATATATGTACCACTGCAATAAAATAATTTCTTTTATAAAAAGAACTATGATTAATTGTATGGGCGACATCTATTCAATAATATCTGAAATATTTTTTTTTAAATTTTATTTTATGAAATCGAAAATTTGAAAAGTCTTAAAAATAATCTCTTTCAAGGTTAGATTTATAAATAATATCTAATTGGTTGATTTCTATACCAATCAATGATCTTTTGTCAATCTAAATATACAAATCAATCTTATCATATTCTACGTTTTAATTACTCATTTATTTAAATCAATGGCACCACCAATTACACAACCAACAACCACAAATTCAAATTCAACTACAAATGGTAGTACAATACCAACAAATCGTCTAGAACGTGAAGCAAAAAAACACGATCGACGGTAGATCTAAACATTATTTTTTCTTCGAAGTTTAATTTCTTTATTCTCTAGATCGGATATTGTCTGTCGTGTTCGTTATACAAATGTTTTACCTGATCTTCCATTTGATCCAAAATTTCTTCGATATCCATTTAATCAAGACAGGTTTACTATGATTTTTTAATGCCCATAAAATAAAAAAAACTATTTTCTTATTAGATTTGTTCGTTACAAACCAACATCTTTAGAGAAAAATTACCGATGGGATTTACTTACTGAACATGATGTTGGTGTTGAAATTGATCTCATTAATCCAGATGCATATGCGACAACTGGTTAGATATTAGATTTTAATGAAAGTAAAATCTATTCATTTATTCATTTTTAGGACAGATTACAGAAGATGATGAAAAATTATTAGAAGAAGAAACAGCTAGTCCAGCTAATCTTAAACGGTACAAATGATTGTTTTTTCTTTTGACTAACAAAATTTTCATATGTAAACATATATTTTCAGATCATTGTTAAATAAACGAAGTGTACCATGGTTACGTAAAACAGAATATATTTCAACAGAACAAAGTTCACTTAAATCATCTATAAAATTGGGTGAAGTCAGGTATGAAAATTTAAATACAAGAAAATAAAAATATTAATGAGATTTTCTATAACATTTAGATTAAGTTCTGCTAAAGAAAAACTTCGTGAAGAATCTCTCAGATATTTAACAAAAGATCGTATATTACAAATTATTGAAGAAGGTTTTGATACTGCTAAAACACCTGTAAATATATTTAGAAAATCTATTTTATTTATATCATTTTTTTTTCGTTAATTAGCTTGAAAAACATTATACTAAACCATCAGTAGTCAAATTAGAAGAATGGCCATTATTTCCTGATTTCGATGTAAGAAAATTCATTTTATAATTGAAAACTAAAATGAATTATGTTTTTTTCGTTATAGAATTGGAAATATCCATTTGCACAAGTTATATTTGATGATGATCCATCACGTAAAGATCCAACATTAACATCTCAAGAACAAGTAGAAGAAATGTCCGATGCAGTTATCAAGTAAAACAAAAATCATTTTGTTATTCTTTTTTCTTATTGAATCAAAAATTCGTTTTCAGAGCATTGGTTGATCCTGATAATAAAGAATATATTGGTTATTTTCTTCCAACTGCTGAAACACGAGCTAAACGTGCACGTGAAGAACAAGATGATGCAGATGAATCTTATGACTTTAAATTAATACGAGAATATAACTGGAATCGAAAAGATAAAACAATGAGTGGTTTTGAAGAAAATTATTTTCTAAGTGTTAAAGATGATTCAATTGTTTATAATGAACTTGAAACAAGGTAAATATTTGAGATTCTATAGATTTAATTCATCTTTTTTGTTTTAGAGTACGTTTAAGTAAACGTCGACCTGTTGGTGGTGGTGCAAAAACAGCCAATCTTCGACTTATTCAACGTTATCGACCGTTTCTTGATTTGGAAGAAAAAAATCAGGTTAGGAGAGAGGACGAAAGTCAAGTTTTGTTTCTGAAATATACAAAAATAAATCTATTCTTCTTTCTAGAGAAAACGATTGAAAGCTCTTGATAATGAAGAAGAATTAGAAGCTGTTAATGGTAAATAATATTTTATTTTCGATTAATTTTTACTTTTATTTTATTTAGAAGACGAAGAAGAAGCAGAAAATGAAGATGAAGCAGTTGAACATGAAGAAGAAGAACAAGAAGGAGAGGTGGAAGAGGAAGAACAAGAAGAAAATGATAATCAACATGAACAAGAAGAAGAAAGAAACGAAGACGAAGAAGAAGAAGAAGAAGAGGAAGAAACTAATGACTAATTTCAATTGAATAAAACAAAAAAAAACTTTATTATTTTCTTTTTTTGATGTATATCATGTATTCTTGATTAAATAACGGTATTAGTTAATTTAACGAGAAAAAATCTTTTAATTCGATATTCACCATCTTGAGAGTGAGTGTGGATATTATCTTTATACCACACCCTATCTAGTATCTCATGTGACACAAATATAAACTGGATTTATTTCTGTTGGCACTTGTCAAAGCTTCGCGTGATAAGATTATCAGAGTTTTATCAGAAAATCAAACACGAACAAACTTATTTTTTTGTGTTGATTAGAACGAAGCATTGGCTAAAGCTATAAAGTGTATTATCATGATCAACAACTTTCACTCTATCACACGATGTAAAAATATGTAAAAAATTGCCAGATGAATTTCGTGCTAATAGCGGATAGTCAATGCACGCATGAATGAATTCTATAATTAGAATAATGAGATTGTCTTCTATAGACAACATCTTTTAACGATATGATATAAAAATAATTATGTATTAATGTTTATTTTTAACTCTGCAAAAGACTACATGGTGTGTCGTTATTTTAATTAACTTAATGAATATTCATTTTGGCAACATTTTCTCTTGATTAATCTACTGAATATTAAAGCCGGATTTTTACAACGGAAGACAGAAATAGATGTCCGAAAGGATAAGAAAAAGAAAAGTCATTATTTGAATAAGTTTTATTCCATCAACATACTCGAAGAATTTCGTTATCTCTTCTCTTTAACTCAACAATTATTGTGAATAACATGGACACATTAACATATCATGACTATATTATCCATCGCACTAAATTTTTCCTAATACTCTCATTACAAATTCCAGCGATTCTTATTTTTCTTTGCATTTTTGCATTTTTCATTACTAATCCAACTCAACTTAATAAACTGCAAAACAAAGCCTTACTAGTTTTATTCATTGTCAATTTTATTCAAGTAACAGTTAATCTACCAATGTGTCTTGATTTCTTTCGGCTCAGTTACATCAGTCCAGCAACAAGTATATACTGTAGAGGTTGGATGTACATTGAATCGACACTTGATACGACAAATGAATTACTAGCGGCTATTATAGCCATTCAACGACATACACTCATCTTTAAACCACATATATTTCGCAATACAATTAAGCGTTATGTTTTCTATTACTTACCTCTTCTGTTTGGTGTTATTTATCCGGTTGCTTTTTACATGGGCACCATTGTATTCTATCCGTGTGATGATTCAGGCTGGGACTTTACATCGAACATGTGTGGCGATACTACATGCTATCTTACAAAGAACCCGGGATTGGCTATGTTTGACTGGATAGTGAATACTGCTGTGTTCGCTATTGTCATTATGCTCGCTAACATTTTGTTAATCATAAGAGTTATTAGACAAAGACGTCGTCAACAAAGAGCTGTCTCATGGTCAAAACAAAGGCGTATGACAATACAACTTCTCAGTATTTCAAGCCTTTATTTAGTTATCTGGATACCCAGCATCATCTTTGGTCTTATTCAACAAATAAGTCCAACGGACGAGATAGATGAAATTCAAACAGATTATGTAGAAGATCTGACGTATTTTATTTGTGTTTTAATTCCTTGGATTGGTATTGGGATGCTTCCTGATTTCAAAAAGTGGATGGTAAAGCAATTTCATCGTCTAAAAAAGCCATCGAACGTAATTGGAACAACGGTTGTTCGAATAGAAGCACATTAGATTATTCATATAAATATTATGAATAAAAGTTATATACTTACATGCGCATCTCGAGTGTGTGATACAATAAAGATAAACACTCACGCCCTCACGATGTTAACTACTGCGAAACGGTTAGCATACCTCTTTTATCACTGATTTCTGAAGTTTTCTAAAAGTTGAAAAAGACCATATGTTCCCTCCACAGTTTTGTATGACTATATTGGTTAAATACTTCAGATATCGATTCATGATTCTGATTTCGTCGTTTTGATTCAGTAAAGCTAAACGTACGACCCATAATGTTTCGGTGTGTTTTGACAGCGAGTGAATTTGAAATTGTGTATTTGCCATAAATAGTACTTCCTCTTCGTCAATAAAGCAACTCAGACTTATAATATTGGCAAATATATGATTCTTGCAAGAGTTTACTAGTTTAGTCATATCAATATCGATTTGAAACGGTGCCGATTGAAGAAATTGTTTTTTATTGTCTTCACTAAGTTCAGCATACCATCTCGAGGGTGTGGGTATGAGTGAGGATGAGGGTGTCGATGTGGGTATTATTTCTATCTCACACTCAAATCCACGCTCACCCACTCCCACACCCACACGCGCACCCACACCCTAGATATACAATCCTTCTGATGGTGAATAATTAACAGAAACTGTTTGAGATATCTGAGACAATTCTTATCGATTTAATTGGTGAGTTACAATGGTAATGTTCATTTTGTTCTAATATAATTCTAAAGATAAAAATTTTTTCACTCGTTAGATCATTATATTTATATAAATCAATTCAAAGAAGAACAGAGAAATATTTGATTGATATTCAACTATTTATAGATTTGAAATTGATTGCATATCAGATGAAAAAAAAATTTATCGACAGGTTTCTTTTATTCAAATAGTTTCTGTTTACAAATCAATAAAACTCTTCTTCATTGTATCATTTTCACCATTCTTTTCTAATATTCAAAGATAGTTTATTTTCATTATTTTTTATCTAAAAAGGTTTTTTTCACAAATAAATTGGAGATATGGTTCATGGATATCATATGGAATTAATAAAGTAATTAGCATCTACTTTCAAATTCCACAACAATATTTTGTCTTTATTGACAGCGTCGTCTCCTGAAGATATTTCTCTCAGTAATTTGCATATCAAAACATATAGGTAAATAATGATAATAGTTGATGAAATTTCTTTTGATAATTTCATAAGAAAAGTGTTGCTCTGGCAAACTAGTGTTACCACCAATCCGCACAATTTCGTCATCGCAACATGTATTTGATCGGGAAAGATCTTTACCTCTTGGTAAGTTTGTAATAAGCAACTTTTCTCGATCGCCCACAGAGCACGACCTCTACCTTGTCTTTACACATTTCATTCTTTCTTTTCTCTCTCTTGCCATGATATATGCAAAGACAAAGTGAATGTCGAGCTTTGGAGGGTGTTAAGAAAAGTTGCTTATTACAACTTACCAAGAGGTAAAGATCTTTCTCGATCAAATACATGTTGCGATGACGAAATTGTGCGGACTGGTGGTAACACTAATCTGCCAGAGCAACATTTTTCTATAAATTAAAAATAAAGAAAAAAAATGTCTATATCACTTTTCGTATTCGATTTCATTGATCTAAAATATTTTATTGTAATTCATTCACATGATATTGACAAAAATCGTAAAGAAATCTTCATTATCTATGACTCATATTGAATAACTGATTCTCTTTCTCTCTCTCTTGTATGAAAAAATGAAATGTGTCTGGACACAGGAAAGAAAAGAAACTTGAATTTGAGTGTTTAGTTATCGCTTCTCGGCCTTTTCGGCTAAGATCAAAGTGTAGTATCTGTTCTCGTCGGTTTGAAAGCCGGCGCTGGTCTCATTGAGGCCAGGCTCTTTCAAGCGGATTTTTGGACATCGGCCAGGATCACCCGAGTTCACTCGGACCTGTGCCACGGATCATCTCGACACTGCAGTGCCGTTGAGTTTGGTCCACTCCCGTTTCCTTCGGGATACGGGAATCTTATGAAAAATTTAAAAATGAAAATATAAAATATCTTCTACAAATCAACCAAAGAAATGGTTCCTGATCTTGTCTTTTATATTAGTCACTCCGCCTCTGTTTCTTTATATCTAATTATTACTGGAATTGTAATCAGTTCATATACAGAAGCAGTTGTACCACAATTCATTGTTTCTTTGTTTTCATCAATATAGTCTAAGATATTCGTTTTGCTGATATCTACATTTACTTCTCGTAAACTAGCATTATAATAAATACTTATTTTTAAAGTTTGATTTTATTTGTTCATTTTGCTATGCTGAAAATTATAAAAGAATAATATGATAAAAGCATCCTTTCTGAAAAATTCTTTTCGAAAAAGTTCACAAGAAAATACAAAAAAGAAAAACATCATCATCTTCAGGATGTGGGTTACGGGTATGTGTACGCCTAACGATAGTATAATATCCACACCCTAGTTTTACAGTCACATTCGTGAATCAATTGTAAAAAATAGTTATCTGTATGTTAACAAATGTCGTTTTTCTCATGGTAGTTCTGTAAAGTCAGTCATAATAACTGATAATAAATCGAAGAATGAATGAAATATTATTTTCTATCTATATTTACTTTCTTTTTCTCTATACGATTGATAGTATAAGATTGAAAAATGAAATAATAGTAAAAACTATGTTGTATCTCAATGTTTTATTTCTATCACGTAAATTTTTTATCGTAAAAATTTATATCAAAAATTTATATTATCTGAATATTTTAAATATATTCTGATTTTACTCTTTAGTACTTATTCAAGATTAGAAGAAAACCTAGAAAAGTGATAAAATTCCGATCCAATCTTAAGAATAAATATTTTAGTCTAATAATTGGTAAAAGCAAACACTTACAGACAATCAATAGAGACTTTCTCATGAACATATCTTCATAGTAACACACATAAGCATCAAACGCATCAATTCAAATAAAAGACTCTCATCTAGAACGTCAGAAAGAAGAAAACTCTTTTCATATCAGTAAAACAGATTGAATCAAATTGTTTTACATTTACACAAAACTTTGGTCACGGAGACAAATAATTCTATTAAAACTTTAATTGCTTATAATTTCGGGTAATAATCATTTGTGAACCTATCACATAGTACGAAAAATTGAAGAATATATATCTAGTTCCTTCATAAATTGTAACGATTAATAAATACAGTTCTCGCAGATTAGGAAGTAGACTAAATTTTTTCAAATGCAATATTTAACCCTATATAAAAAAAACCGTAGTTTATTCATAGAAATCAGTCAAATCTGAATCATCATTTATTCATGCACAATGTTAACAGTCTGAGAAATATTTCCAATCGACAACAACGTCGATCACTATCGATGCGTGAAGGTATTTCTATTAGTATTATTGATAAGTCTACACAATATAAAAACAAAAATTTACAACTCGGTTGTATAAATCATTGTTTTATTTTCCGTTATACAAATATATTACAATATATGAAACGTTTAAAGAAAAGTTCATCATATGAATATATAATTGTTCTACTTCTTGATTTCGATAAAGATAATATAGAAACTATAATATCACAGCTGAAACAATATCAACAAATACAAGCTATTTTCATTGTGCAGATTTCTGATAATAAAAAGGATATTTAAAATGAAATCTATGAAAATGGGTGTGGGTGTAAATGTCTGCTCTTTGTATTCACATTCACACCCACACTCACAATTAAGATTCATCCGATATCAAACTTTTAGAAAGTGCTTGATTTTATAAAAAGTAGAAATTCAACTTGATTTCCTGCTAAAAGTCGAAATTAATATCGATCAACTCTCATTCACATCTAAATACAGTCATATTCGCATGCGGATCACGACAGTCTACGGTCAGGTGAATCGAGTTTCGATGAACGTTACTTGTTATCAAGTAGTAATAAAAAAATCTATAAGAACGACAAACAACTACTAATATGAATAGTTTCCTCTGTGTTTCATATATTAAATCATAGAAAAAAAGAAATATAAGTGTTTTATGTTTGAACAGCAATATTTTGTTAATTTTTATGAATTATAATGTCTGCAATAATATAACTATTTGTAACTTTTGAGTCTTCAATAATATGAGACATGAGAGCATAAAGAAAACAACCCTAGAGATTGGTCTTCTCTTCGTCAAAATACCTAATAAAATTTCTTTTCGAAGATTCTTTTAATGACTGACATGTGTACAAAAACATTTAAGCGTTTCTTTTTCGTTCTCTGCTTATTACTGAAGAATGCATCTTGATCTTCGTTTGGTTTCATAATAAACATTTATAATTTTCAATAAAAAAGGCGTGGGCGTCCATTTCAAAAAAAAGAAAAAACTATCTAGATAAGAAGTAGAGACGCTATAGAACGAGCTAGTTTAATCATTCTTTCACCTGCAAAGTTTCTCAAGCTACTCAAATATAACATATTCTTAGTAGAAGTAACAAATAATCAGAACCAATGGCGGCTAGCAAATCAAGTGATACAAAAAAAATTAACCCGGCATCGGGTCTCCCTACGCGTGTAACTACAGATCGACGTATGAACATGCAAAGAATGCAAAATGTCCTCCTGATTTGGTTAGACAACAATATTAATGATAATAATGTTGATTGTAATAATACAATCAAGCAATTAAAACGTGTCATTAACAACGTAAATACGTTTATAGATGGTGAACAATGTGTTGAATTTATTCGAACTATTATTAACAACAAAGTATGTATGATTGTCTCCGAGTCACATGGAAAACATATTGTACCTCATGTGCATGATATGATTCAAGTGGATACCATTTTTATTTTTTGTAACAATCAAGAATGTGATAAATCATGGACCAGAGAGTGGCCTAAAATAAAAGGACTCTTCACAGATGTAACATCAATCTGTAAAGCTCTTAAACAAGCTACTCATCAATGTGAGCAAAATTCTATCTCCATCAGCTTTGTGGCACCAGACAAAAAGCTGGATCAATTAGATCCATCATTTATGTATACCCAAATCTTGAAAGAGATTCTGTTAACTATCGATTTCGAAGCTAATCATATTAAAGAATTTATTACTTATTGTCGTGAAGCATTTGTCGAAAATGAGTATGAATTACATAATATTGAAAAATTCGAACGTGACTATCATGATCAAAGTCCGATTTGGTGGTATACTTATCAATACTTTTTATATTCGATGCTCAATCAAGCATTACGACAAATGGATGTTGATATCATTATTCGAATGGGTTTCTTTATTAGTGATCTACATCATGATATTCAACGACTCCATTCGGAACAATTTCATAGTCAAAAATCTGGTAAAACACTTACAGTTTATCGTGGACAATGTCTTTCAAAAGAAGATTTCACTGAAATGACAAAAACTAAAGGTGGGCTTCTTTCATTTAATAACTTTTTATCGACTAGTACAAATCATGATGTTTCTCTCTGTTTCGCACCACAAGCTGCTACAAATACTGATGTTGTTGGAGTCTTATTTGTTATGTCAATTAATCCAACTGATTCCACAACTTTATTTGCTTCTATTAGTGATGTTAGTTATTTTCGTATGGAAGATGAAGTTCTCTTCTCTATGCATACTATTTTTCGCATTGAAGATATCAAACCAATGGATGGAAATAATGATCTCTATCAAGTGAACCTAACACTGACCAACGACAACGATCCAGATCTTCGTACTCTTACTGACCATATACGACAGGAGACCTTTCCAGATTCGAAAGGATGGTTCAGATTAGGTCAACTGCTAATTAAAATGGGCCAGTTTATCAAGGCTCAAGAAGTGTATGAAGTTTTACTTCATCAAGCAACGAATGAAAGTGACGGGGTAAATATTTATCATCAACTAGGTTGTATCAAAGATAGTCAAGGAGAATATCAAGAAGCACTTACATTTCATGCGAATGCTCTTAGAATTCGACGACAACTACTTCCTTCCATTCATCCTCATTTGGCTATGTCCTATAACAACATCGGTTTGGTGTATAAAAACATGGGTGACTATCCAAAAGCACTTTCTTATTATGAAAAAGCCTTTGCAATTCGACAACAATCACTTCCTTCCAATCATCTTGATTTGGCCGTCTCCTATAACAACATCGGTTTGGTGTTCTACATCATGGGTGATTATCCAAAAGCACTGTTATCTCATGAAGAAGCTCTTGCAATTCGACAACAATCACTTCCTTCCAATCATCCTGATTTGGGTGCTTCCTATAACAACATCGGTATTGTATATGACAATATGGGTGATTATGCAAAAGCACTTTCTTATTATGAAAAAGCCTTTACAATTCGAGAACAATCACTTCCTTTCAATCATCCTGATTTGGGTGATTCCTGTCACAACATTGGATTGGTGTATGATAATATAGGCGACTATTCAAAAGCTCATTCATTTTATGAACGTGCTGTACAAATTGGAGAACACTCATTACCAACAAATCATCCTGATCTTCAAGGATACAGAAAAAGCCTCGAGAGCATAAAAAGCAAATTATAATTTCTTTCTGTACTTTGTTTTGAAAGTAAAATAAGACCGATGAAAAAAATGTGTCTCTATTGAAACTCTGTTCTTATTGAGAATAATATAACCACTAACGCTCACTGGTAAGGTAAATAATACATATTGAAAAGATATCTATTGTAGAAAAGACCTTCACGGTTACATTATTATGTCTGAACAAGTAGAGTTTCGTTATGTTAGATAAGAAAGAAAGATAATGAACAGAAATATAGAAGGATAGAAGGAGAGAAACGGTTTACTTTATCGAAAGAATGAATTATTGTTTCTACGGACGAAAAAAGAGTTGATTTGAATGAACTTGAAAAAGAAAGGAAAAATGTAGAGAAGAACTATGACAAATCTGTGTATTGAAAAAAAGTGAATGTAGCTCTGAGAGAGAATCAACCTAAACTTCTTGATTATGATTATATCTGAATGGATTTCTAACTATAAATCATTGTGGAAAAAGTTTTAAGCCTACTCAGGAAATAAAAAAATGAAAAACCATCATGAGAGTGTGGGTGAGTGTGACTGTCGTTGAAAAATAGATTATATACCCGCATCAATCCACACTCGCGATTTTTATTTCCGATATTTTCCCTTTCGACATTTTAATTTTTCGATAAGAGACAGGTTTACCGATCATCATCATCATCGTTTTCAATAACAATTTGTATCTCATGACTAATTGCAGTTGTACGATCAAATATATTGGATGCATGCGAACGATGAGTAGTAGCTGATATTCCTTCATTATTAGCAGAATGATTTGATGATGTTAAAGAAGAATTTCCATTTTGTTGAAAAAAATTTTGATTGGAAGAATTTTCCATAATTTCATCAATTTGTTTAAGTATGTTATATATTGGTTTCATCTGTTCATTAAATAATCTTACATTAACTATTTGTCGATTTGTTTCAACATCTTCATGTACAACACTACCACTGCATATTAAACATATTAATGTATCTTGTGTGAAATCATATAATTTTCCAATATCTAAATCTGTATATTCTTTTGCACATTTTTCACATTTATAATTTAATTGTTTATTTATTTGTTGTCGTTCAAGATTTTCTACATGCATTTGCATATGTATTAAACGATATCGAACAACATTAATAAATGTTGCTATATCAATTTTATAATAATATTGATCTTGAATACCTCGACTAGTTGCATTATCATTATTAGATTCAGGACAATGATCTTTGTTACAGTCATATCGTTATATGCCTTCACATTCTCTCACATCATATCTCGTTTCTCGTTATTCACATTCTTTGTTTCTTTTTCTTTCTTTTGTCTGTTTTCATTATTCATTCGAATAAAGATATATCGTAAAGAGAGTCGCTCTCATATTTGGTGCCGTGACCGGTTTTCTTCACAGTTACCATCGAAGAAAAAGGACCATTATCGATATTTATACTTATGGCTATGTATTCTCAGCATCATCTCACAAAATCGAAAACGCACATTACAACGATAGACATTCTTCGAAATTTGGAATCTCTTTTAATATATGATATTACATGATTACCCACTACTACTCCGAACTCATTATTCGTATATTCGACATCCGGTTTCACATGGATAATGATTTTTTTGCCTTCTTCTTCGTATAGAATATTGGCAGCAAATCTCTGTAACTCTAAAATATCGCCTCAATTCTTCTCGATCATACGTTCTCGTCCTCCTTTCCAATTCCCCGTCTTCCACGAACGCCCCATAACCATTTTGATTTCTTTCTAGTGATTTGTTTTTGGGTTACCGTTGTTTTGTCTTCATACAAACACAACTATTCGAGACATTTCAAGTTAATTAATACTATTTGTCGTCTTCATATTTTCCTGATTGTCTGGTTTCCTGATTAACCTTATCGAAGTTATCACTCATCGTCGTTCTTGCATTTTCTTATCGGCTTATTTATCGGTTAAACGTACCGATATCGTTCGCAACCTTGTTTATCCGTCGTTACGGAACATTTTTTCTTTTCAAGGATTTTCGATTTATTACGTGTCTTTATTTTATTCATTTTTTTCTTTTCGTGTTGTTTCTTGCTTTTGTCTTTTCCGAATGTGTGCGGACACACATTTTTTTTTTTGTTGGTGGGGAGGTATGTTACAGTCATATCGTTATATGCCTTCACATTCTCTCACATCATATCTCGTTTCTCGTTATTCACATTCTTTGTTTCTTTTTCTTTCTTTTGTCTGTTTTCATTATTCATTCGAATAAAGATATATCGTAAAGAGAGTCGCTCTCATAATCTTCTATAAAAAATTTATCACGTTTAAATTCTTGAATAAATGAACGAATTAATTTAGGATCTAAACATAAAAGATCAGCTAGATCTTGTTGTTTTATTCGTTCATAATGATAAATATATTCAATAACAAGAGATTTTGGAACTTCATAAAATGCACGCATTATAAAACGGATTAATACTTTAAGTATTGCTCGTGGATCGTTTGTATCATCAATTAGAAGAGATATATCATTAGATGAAGGATTTGTTGGTTGAGGGAAAGAAGAATTCATATTTGAAAATGAATCACCACCAGATGCAATCAACGACATGTCGTTTTCGATTGTATTTAGATCGGCAAAGACTAATCAATGTCTTCCAGGAGCCAACAACCAGTTTATATCTCTTGGTAAGTTTATAACAAGCAACTTTACAGAGCACGACATTTACTTCGTCTTTACACTTTTTATTCTTTCTTTTCTGTCTCTTAACATCATATATGTAAAGACAAAGTGAATGTCGAGCCATAAAAGGTGTTGAAAAAATTTGCTTGTTACAACTTACCAAGAGATATTAGTTATTTTTTGTTTTGTTGTAAATGACTTCGATTCTCAAATTGCAAGTCATTACAGGTGCGTATAATGAAGAACCTTTAGCTTATCTTTTACAAACAGACGATTTTCGATTTTTACTTGATTGTGGTTGGGATGAAAACTTTTCACCAGAAATTATTGAAGAATATAAACGCCATATAGAATCAATTGATGCTATATTAATAACTTATCCTGATCTCTATCATCCTGGTGCATTACTTTATCTTGTTAGGCATTGTGGATTAAAATGTCCAGTATATGCCACAGTACCTGTGTATAAAATGGGACAAATGTTTATGTATGATTTACATCAAAGTCGTTCGAATAGTGAAGATTTTACATTATTTACACTTGATCATATTAATGCAGCATTTGATCTATTTGTTCAACTTAAATATGATTGGTGGAGCTATATGGAAAATATCGAAAGGAGATGAAGAACAAATTGTATATGCAGTTGATTGTAATCATAAAAAAGAACGACATTTAAATAGTTCAAATTTAACAAAGATTAGTCGACGAACATTATTAATATTTTTTTTTATTTATTTAGGCAGAATGAGACTGACGACCTTAAAGGTCCTTACAGTACATGATTGAGTTAGAAGAGAGAGAAAGAAAATAGAAAAAAAAAATAGTATAGTTTAGTATATATAAATATGAGAAGAGTAGCATTAGACAGTAACAAAAGAGGTACAAAAACAAAACAGATCAACACAAAGAGGAGAGAAACAAGAATATGTAATACATAGTTACATATTTGTTACAACAACAGTAACAAGATCCAAAGAAGAAGAAGACAAGAGGAAGGAGAAAAGAAAAAAAACTTCAGAACGATTCAGGGAAATCGGCCAAGGTCATGACATCATCAATATCATAGTTGATGGTGGAATGATTGGGGGGGAATACTTGCGCACCACGTAGCGCATTTTTCCAAAACAGAGGTGTGGCCGATGATGTTTAAGGTATTCTTTGTTTGTCTAATTCCTGTAATATTAATGCTTCTTGGTAGCATTGATATTCATCGTACTATACAGAAAACAAAATCTCGTATTCAAGCAGTTGGAACGAATCAATCACAACAGTTACGTCAAGCACGTTTACATCGACAAATGTTGATTTTGATGATATCAAGTATCATGATATTTTTTGTCACAACATTACCTGTTAGTATTCGGCAAATTGTAGCTGCTTATGAAATTTCTGTTGGTAAAACTACTGATTTAATTAAAATTATCACTGATACGAGTATACTCACTATACTACTCACTTTAAACTATGCTGTAAGTTATTAAAGAATTATTTTTAGTAGATTTTTTTAGTAATATAGAGATTTATTACTAGAGTGAGTTCTATTTTTAAAATTTTCTTGCCGTTCATCTGGTTTTAGTCATTCAGTAGGAACAATTCTTTAACTATGCATATAATGAAAAATTAATATAATACTTTTTCATTTGTTTGATGTGTATTTTATATAGATCAACTTCTATGTTCATTGTTTAACATCAAAATTATTTCGTGATGAATTTATTAAATTTATTAAGATCATCGTTCGATTAGCTGGATGTGCAACTGGAAATAATACAAATAATATTAATCATACTATAATGCCATCGGTTGCAAATGGAAATGCACAAGCCAATATTCGTCATAAACAATCACACACTTGATTTTTTATTCATTATTGACAAATGAAATAGTCAATATAACAAGAACA